ACAAATCAAGGTAGAAAGGACTTGATCGTTCTTGCTATGATGCACCTTGTCACAGATGATGAAAATTCCGTTTGAAAGTAGAAGTTTGAATAAAAGGCATAGATCTACTTGTCATGTATATCAAAAGCATCAGTAGGATAGAACTACAAGGGAACCGTGTCGAGTCGAAGTGGCTTTTCCAGATGAGACCCATACTGCTTTGAAGAGCATTAACCGGTGATTCCAAATCTGCTTTCCGAATCTGCCAAGCGCCTCTGGACGCCGAGATATGCTCGTTTTTCAGGTCAAAAATTGAACGCAAAACTGAAGCAAAATCGCCCAAATTTGCTCAAATGGTCCAGTGTCAAATATCAGAGCTGTTTATGCAATGGATACATTTTATTTAATATGCTAATACTTAACATTGCGTTATCTGAGCGCTGGAAAGATTGTAACAATCAGTTTTACCTAAATTCTGCATTCATTTTTCGTTCCGAAGATCGGTCATAACTCGGCGTCCAGAGGCGCTTGACAGATTTGGAAGGCAGATTTGAAATCACTGCTTAATACTCTTCAAAGCTGTATGGGTCTCACCTGGAAACGCCACTTCGACTCGGCACGGTTCCCTTGTTAGCAACTTCTTGCACCATGACAGTTGATTTAAGCTATGCAGATTCGTGGATGTTAGCTATTCCGTGCAATCTTCAAGTAATGTTGCTAATATCTTCGTTAGGAAGTGAAAGACAACTTTGAGCAAGAACATTTGTTCAAAAAAGAGCAGAGTCCTCTTTTTGTTTCCCTTTCACACATACTATAGACAGCAGTCATGTGTGGGTCATCAAGTGAGACTACCATATGCGAGAGAATACTCGAGTAAAGAATAGACTAAGGAAATACAGTTTTGTTGCAAAAGACATTCTTTGATCTTCATTTTCCGACCATATGACATCACAAAAGCGTGTCAAGTGTGCTGGAGTTTTAAGTTAGCGCGATTCCTGTGTGCCGAAAGATGAGAAAGTGGTACACAGATCAGAAAGGCATACTGCTGACGTAATGGGTTAGCGAACGTGGAGCACTTGTAAATACCACTGTTTCCTTAATATTCCTCTTCCAACAGAATCATCTTGCCAACCTTTGGGAACCACTGTGCAAGGCTAATTTCAACTTACAATTAGTTCTGCAGTGTGAAGCGCTTCATGATTGCTCTTCATTACCAAGAGTAGGAGTACGGTAGGAACTTCCAGCATAGAGCGATAATATGACTAAGCAATAAGTGAGAAAGTCTTTAGCAGGGTTCGAGCACGTCTATCTCATAAGTTAGCTTTTTACGTGGTTTTGAGGCTTTTTGAATTTTCAATTACTTTTCGAGAAACGAAGAAGGTGGGGTTACGATAAACCTTGCATAACTTTCAAACGAAGCTCTGCAATAAGGTGCGAGTCTTATGTTCTGGATCAAACCCTGAATGGCTTAGTAAGTGTAAACTTACAGCTTGCCTGGCTTTTTTTCTAAGGCACGTAAATCTGGGCAAATGACTCCAAGGAAAAGAGATAATCGCAATATCTTGCTTCGGGGTGGACCAATTTTAAATCTAAAAACACCTTTCAACTCTGCTTCCTGAGATGTATTCTTTACATCTCAAAAGTGCCTGTCTGGGATAACTGGTCGAATTTTAAGGACCCTTCCAAATTTTCACTTCGATAGGTTGGCATTATGCAATAACTCAGCACTCTGACAGGGGAAGGATACTTGGATGCCGTAGCCATTCATAATGATTTTTATACCAAAAAATGCGCTTTTGAATGCTGGTTCGCAGACTGTCTTTCATATCTGAGAAACGATAATCTGAATGGAGTTATGATTTTTTTCATTTAAAAAATTGCGTTCCTACTGAGGGTCAAAATCATCAATAAAAAAATTTTCTCTCCTTTCCAAATGCTGAGTATGATCCAGATAGTCTAAATAAATATTATACGTCTAAAATTTTCTTCAGTAGCATCAAACGGTAGGCTAGATCAAATCTGGTGATTTTTACTATACAAAAGTAGGCTAAATTTTCAAGGAAAAAAGTTCATAACTTTCTTCAAAAGATCGTGTCGCAGATTTCGAGAACAGATTCAGAATCTGCATTCGAAGGCGCATTTTTTGGTATGCAAATCATTAGGAATGGCCGCGGTATCCAACTATCCTTCCCTTGTGAGTAACCTACCGTGATGGCAAGAATTTGGAAGGACCTTGAAATCTGACCGAATGCCGATTACCAAATAGGCACTTCTATATATCAAAAGATGCATATCGTTGAGCTGAGTTGGATGGTGCTTCTGAATTCAGATTTCGTCCACTCCGAAGAAAGATATTGCGGTGCAACCAAAGTTTGCAAACTCCGGCGGAGTGCGGCGATTTTCTTCACAAATTACAAGTGGTATTGTAACCAATCACTGTGTGCGTCTATGAGCGGTCTGCCAGCAGAATTTCTTCTCTGGTACTGCCTAAGGTACTCTGCAGCTACCTTCCCACATTTTTTCTTCCAATTCATTGATTGCACCTTCACGCTCGCCGTAAAAATGCCATCTTTTTTTCATTGTTCTGCATGCATAACTCAAAACTATCAGTTCTTTCATTGTACTTGGGAATTGACATCGCTGATTGATTAACTCAGAGCTTCGAAAAAAATCTTTTATTCTCATGTCCTCTCACTTTTACTGTAGATTGTTTGGCCACACCTTTACATGAATACGAAAACAGTCGCATTTGTTGCGATCATTGACGACTTTCTTCGGCAAACTACCAGATCCTAGCTCCTTATGAGCCTTAAAAGCAATGTGAATTTACTCGACACAGCAATACTCGCTTTTAAGAGTTTCGTGAGAGTATGTGCCGGATGTAGTGTGTAACAAGCAAAAATATGGGTCAAGGCCTTTCCCTAAATCTATTTTATGGATAGCACAAATTAAAATGAATAATAGATGCTCAAGTAGATACATATATACGTGTACAACGAAAGCAATTTAGGTCGTCACTAGTACTCGTGCTCAAAAAATCACTAAATAGTGACTGGAATGTCGTCAGAATATCCCGAAGATAGCCAAGAGCGCTCAATTTTTCCTTTCTTTGCACTACCACTGGAACTGTGCATCCGCATCTTGAAGCATTTGAGACAGGCTCGTAGTTTGAATTTAATGACTGTCGCGCCTTCCTTAAAGGCAGCGTCCAAGCAGAATCTCGACTTCTCTTTTTCTGCCTTATCCAAACCTGTTTATGACGCCGATTCCAAATGTGGCAGTCGAAATGTGTGAATTCCTCAAAAAACACATTTTTGAGGCAATTTTGTGAGAAGCCCGAACGAGTGCTCCCAATGCAATCTTTGTCTAAAGCAAGCATTAACAGGTAGACACTATGTGTTAGATTGTGATTGTCACGTAAAAACACGTCAAGGCCTGAGGAGAGTTCGTTCAAGGGGGCGGACCGTTCGCCTATTCTCTCGAACGGCCCGCCTCCTTGAAGAACTCTCCTCAGCCCTTGAGTGTTTTCACGTAGTAAACAGGATGGAACACATATCTAGTGTCTACCTTTCATTCATTCATTTATTACATAGGATGACCTATGCATTAATCATCAACTGACAAATATTACAAAACATAAAAATTTGTTGGAAACACAGTACAAAAAAAGCAACGAGTGACAGGTTGTCATTATGAAAGCAAATAGTCCTTTAAAAGCAACTTAAACTGCGAAAGCTTAACAGGAAGCATTCCTCTTCTCATCAGTCTATCCAGATCACTACTAATTCTGTTCACAAAGAATCTTCTTCTCACATTTCTCCTTGCTCTAGGTATGACTCTAGGTATCTTTCTTGAACCTCCCCTAGTTTTAGAACTCCTCGTTCCAAAAAAGGAAAACGGGTCGAGATCATAATCTTTGAATATAATCTTTGAATCTTTGAATACCTGCTTGCTTTCGACAAAAATAGCATCCGAAGTTCTCGTCCAGGTTCTCACGAAATTATCTCAAAAATGGGTTTTTCTTAGGAATACACGCATTTCGACTGCCATATTTGGAATCAGCGCCATGAAGAGGCTTGGATAAGGCAAAAAAAAGAAGTCGAGATTCTGCCCGGATGCTGTCTTTATCTTTCAAATTCAATTTCAAATCATGCACTGATGTCGTTGAAGTTCGGAAGCACTGCTTGCCAGCGCTTCCATACGTGAGATCCGGCGACGTTGCTATCTCGAGTCCTAACGAAGAATAGAGTAGGGGTTTTGAACATGGATATTTAGTATATAGTGAACTTTGAGTTCAGAACAATTTAATGTGGACATTACAAAATAATGTGAACTGGCAGTTTTGTCGTTATCAGGATAGCCTCTCTGCTGGTAACTGCCACCTTGATAACACAGCTACCCTAAAAGGATAGAGGACTATATGTCGCCAGAGGGCGGCCAGCGCGGTCATTTGACAAATACGCATCCTTGCACATGCATGGAGGTACGTTTTCGCAAGAAGTCCGCGCGAGACTCACCCAGATTCGGCGATTTGTAGCTTTCCACCCCCTAAGGGTGAAAAAAGAAACGCAAACACCCTAAGCCCGTTATTAGAAGTTGTGATCGTCATTTTCTTAGAACCCCATCTTTCGACTGTTCATCTTTTTTTAGTTCCAACTACAATACAACGTTTGTCCCCATCAGAAGCATGTTTAGCACCGTTCGTCTAAAGAATCAGTAAAAAATTTGGTGCACTTTCATCAACTTTGAAGAGAGAGAAATGACTTCGAAGAAAAAACGATCGGCCGCCGGGATCATCAGAGGATCATACTAATAACTCGAAAATGCTGCTCGAACTTTTGTTTAGTATATTAAAATGCATGCGGCGCTCGGTTAAGATCTACACACAGCAAAGCTGCTAGGACATCAAAAAAAACCCTGAAAGTGTCCATTATTTAATTTAATCCAATGGTTCACAGGATGAGGCTGCATCGCCTTGGGACTGTGGAAACCTTCGCCACACTCGCCTTGTCTGTCGAGCAATGAATGACATTATCGAAAAAAACCGAGCCGCGATTGGGCCAATGCTAGTGAAGAGAATATTCGTTGGTCAGGTATGATCTGCTCCCGGATTCGCATAGAGGTGGATTGCGGACTTCTTCTAATCGGGATAATCCTACTAAACCTTTAAATTACAGCATTGCTTTTTGCACTCTTTCCCTACCGCAAACCGCCACGCTTTGACCTGCTGCGTCCTCCGCTTCTATACGAATCTGGGAGCCGATGATTCATAGGTCACGGACTTCAATCTACTGAGCTCCCTTTAAAAATTCGTTATCAAACGTGTATCTCAATTTTCCGTTACAGCATAGTAAGTTTGATGGAGGCCCCAAACGTTTCATCGCATCGAAACCTAGCGACTTACCGAAGTGTTTGGCTCTATGTGCACATGCCTACATTGAACAGATCGTGTTCGACGCGGTAAGTGGCACCAGATCAAAATCAAGAAAGATAGAGAAAATTGTGTATAACTCAGGCAACTGACCAGAACTTCCGCAGAACGTTTGGGGAAGTTCCGCCGGGTCACGCGCAGAATTTTCGAAGAACGCGAACCACAACAGCAAAAGAGAACACCGAAGCGAGATTTGAACCTTACTTTATTGACTGTGAAACTTATCTACTATTCTCTGCACTACGATTGACATGTTCATAATGCGCTCTAGTTGTTGGCGAGACCACATCATATTAGACAACACATTCAAGACCCTGCGGAAGTACTGGCATGTCAAAGTGCTGCGGAACCGCTGGCATCTTTCGGAAGTTCCGCAGCGCTTTGTACAAACTCTACGAAAGTTCCCGTTGTTATCCAATCCAATGTTAAAATCCTGCGGAAGTTCCCATTTTCAACGTTTCCATTTTTGGCAATAGTAAACGAGATCCTGCGGAACTGCTGCTAATTTTGCTTGCCTTGCGGAAGTTCCCGTAAATTGTCAGAGTAGGTCTTTTCAAAAGTTCGTAGAGTTTTCATTTTAATATCCATTTTCTAATGAAGCAGTTGCTTACGACAAAATACCTCTGCTATTCAAAGAGCCAATCTTGCTCTACAAGGAAAGCTCTTTTCGGAGGAAATCTTAATTTCCTTGTCTTATGGCTCCTCAAAGCAAAGTTTTTTGAGAGATAAAAATTGGCGATTCGGCTCCCGTAATTTTCAATCAATTTCAATTTTTTTCTGAAGTTGTTATCAGTGATGAAAAACAACTGTTTATGTGCATATAATATTAGGATGATAATAAAGTTCTCGAACATTTTCAGAAAAGATCTGCTATTTCTCGAAATATAACGCATATACATCAGATAGGGGGACCATTCGATAGAGCAAAGCAAGCTCTACAAGACGGTTTGCAAAAGTTCGCACCAGCTTCGACCCACCATAAGTTTGCACCCAAAATCTGAGTCGTACTGAAATTCAAAAAATCGCGAAAATTCATATCTTTGTTCAAACAAATCCTACGGATCTCCAACTTGCTCATAAAAATTGCGGACAATATTAGACACTCGTATGCACCGTCCCTGTAATTTTTCCTCATCTGGAAATCGAGAAAACGAAAATTTTCATGCCTGTATAAAAACGAAGCTGTGATGTTTCCACCGACGTAATTGAATAGTACAAGCCCTTAAAAGAATAACCGTACATTTTCGGCTTTCCGCAAGCCCTAGTTGTCGAAAAATATTAGCATGGATTAGATTTTAGCATGGAACGTCCAAGTGAGGAACGCTCGTTTCGGTAATTTGCGGGAACTAGAGCCTGTAGAAAGTGAAAATTTGCGGTTATCTTCTAAGGGCTTGTACTATTCAATTACATGGGTGGAAACAGCACAGCTTCGTTTTTATACAAGCATGAAAATTTTCGTTTTCTCTATTTAAAGATGAGGAAAAATTACGAGACGGTGCATACGAGTGTCCTAATATGGTTCGCGATTTTTGAGAGCAAATTGGAGATCCGTAGGATTTGTTTGAACAAAAATATGAATTTTTCGCGATTTTTTGAATTTCAGTACGACTCAGATTTTGAGTGCAAACTTACGGTGGGTCGAAGCTGGTGCGAACTTTTGCATACCATCTTGTAGAGCTTGCTTTGCTCTATCGAAAGGTACCCCTATCTGATGTATATGCGTTATTTTTCGAGAAATAGCAGATCTTTTCTGAAAATGTCCGAGAACTTTCTTACCAACCTAATAGTATCCTTATCTAGAGAGGCGCCATAAAGAAGGACAAAGCGCACTTTTACCATGTGTCTAGATATTGCATTTGGTACAGTTTAGAGAATTTCCCACTCCAAGAATGAAAAAGCGTGAAATGCTGGTCAGACCTTGTACTCAAACATCTACACCACTTGAAACAACCCTTTTATTTTTCGTCAAGGCGCTGAGAGAACCACACATTCTGTCGTTAAACAGCGCGCAAATCTCAAGCGGTAGCAATCAGCAAGTACTGAGACCTTGTTTATGCAGTTCTTAACATATTGGCGTGCTGCAATCTTTTCAGTGTATTACAATCTTGCTTGCTATTAGCCTTCCGCCTACATATGAAAATAACAGTTTGAGGGATATGGGCCAAATACGGAAGGTGCAGTTGTCGAAGGGATTTAGCTTTGCTCCGAAAACGAATAACAGTACTTGTAAAGCAAGATTCGCTCTTCCGAACAGTATATTGCCGCAAATCAATCGCTTCATCAAAAAAAAAAATGGCTACTAAAATGGAAACTCTACAAACTTGTAAAACGACCTAACATAGACACCATGTATTTCCTTTCGTAATTTTGTACTGGTGGCTGAAGGCAAATTCAGGTATCGCTTGACTCCACTACAGTCAAGCTTATAACTGATAGTTTGCGACAGAATCACGTACATGTAAAAGGAATGATTCTGTATGGCGTTGATGTCACTTGCGAAGTTAAGTTGCTGGTTGATCTGCTCAGAGCTGCTGAAAGTTCAATTCTTTTTATAATCAACTGTAAGCTCGATAATGAGTTGGCAGGATCCCTTGCTCACCACAAGATAATTGCAGAGGTTAGTTTCTGACCACACATAAAGGAAGTGTTTTGGTCAAAGTTCCTTTTTCAAATGGTATATCTACACGACTTTAAAAGCTTCAATCTCAATTCTGTCTTCGGTATCTGCTGCGCATCTCCATGCCAATCCATGAGCATTTTTGGATTGAATAATTGAAGGCACGACTGGAAAAATCAATTAGAATAAATAAATGGATCAAGATGGGCGTCAAGACACAGGCAATTGATAATTTCTGTCTGATGTAATCGTATCAACCGCTACCTATTCGGGCGCTGGAGTAATGGTAACGATTTGACTATATCTAATTCTTACGTTTATTTCTTGCTTCAAAAAGTGTTTATTATCGGGAGAATAGAGGCGGCAGATACAGATGACAGATCTGGAACCAGTGCTCATTAATCTAAAAATAACATAGAATCTGTTTGGATTCTATTGAATCACTGTCCTTTTTGGTGCTATTTCAGCAACTGCAATCGCATTTCATTGGATCTTTCGACTGTTTTGAAGTATATTTGACCATGAGTGTTGACGAAGTTGATTGGTTAACTAATTTTGTGCAGGTTAGCCTATTTGCATGTTTTTTAATCTCATGATGTTGGAGTCAGCCTTCCGTCGTAATGAGTGCATACACCTCCAGCGAACGGTGTTTAAAGACCATATTTTCTAATAAAATGACAAATGAAAACTTCGGAAATTAAATATTAACATATAGACTTGCTGCAAAGATGGGTCATACTACTTTGTTTACTGTTGTAACCGTTGTTACCGCTCTTACCGTTACTATCACCTTCTACCGTTGTTACACTTTCGCATCTGTTGCCATTACTGGTGTTACAAGGAACGACAAACTGTTTCGCTCTTTCCAATAATGCTTCTGTTTTGTACATAAACCAGGCTGCTATCATTTACCACGTCTTCTCCTGTATCTTCTAAAGAAAGAAAAATCAAAAAAATTCGAGAATGCCCCAGTGAAGGTTGACCCTGAAGGCTTTTATGTACTTCAATGAACCGGATGGGTCGTCGAATCATGCATAAATACTGATTGATTGAGACTGACCATGCATCGTGCTTCAAATTCCTCACTGTTTGATCTATCTTTTTTGCCCTGTTGTATTCTGCCATCTCTTATCAATCATTCTGTAGGACTGGTCCAACTTTTAGCATCAATCACTATTTGTTACGTTAAAGCCGCGGTGAAGATTTTGAATAAGTCATCAAGCATTGAGATGAAAATCCTGTTTTTAACAAACTTCAGAAAGCTGAAATTGTATTGAGCCTATCAAGTGTAGTTGGTCTTAATTATAAGGCACACGTTACTAGAGAGATAGCAGTGGCGTACCCAGGATTTCCGTTCGGGGGAGGGGACAAAAAAATTTTTCTGAGTGGCTAATGCCACGCACCGAGGAAAATTTTTTGGCATGCTCCTCATTTTCGCGGGCGAAAATTTTCATAAGGCTAAATTGAATTTTTATAAATTTTTAGAAAAGAATTTTAATTATTTACAAGTATAAACGAGTCACTTTCACATTTTTATAACCCATATAAGTAACTTTCGAAAATTTCGCGACCCATTCTCGGGGGGAGGGGGGGGGGGGGGCGCCCGGATGTCAAACATTGGGGAGATTTTTTGAAACACGTCGCAGAAGATTCTTGCTCTCATGATTGGTTCAATGTGATTTCAGCTGACACTTCCATCGATAACTGATCATGGCTATGCTGTAGTCAAACAGTTTCATACAGGCCGCGGACCAGAATATCGTGTCTATCGTGATCCAGGCCATGCATGCAGTGTTGATGTCACATGTCAACCACTGGAGAAAGTCGAAACATCCAATCTAGACGTAAATCAGTTCTATATTCTTCATTCGGAACAGGGCGGATTGTATTGTGAATCAGGTAGTTTGCAAAGCTATCGCTAAGGCTCACGCAGGTTATTTCTCGACCTCCTTGTTTCTGCTTTGCTTCTTAGTGGAACAGTCATGTTTGTCTGCAAATTCGTACATAAATTGTAATGATGATTTTCCTTGCAAAACATGCACCCTTCTCCCTGACATTCCTTCGCAACTATTCCTTGACAAATTCATGGCGTTTTTTGCTTTGCTAAAGGAACTTCGTCGCGTTTGATAGATGAGCTATTTGCACGGCCGTGATGCAAAAATACAGAATGTTCTAGTGTTACGACTTTTTTCACTGTCTCAAGTTATCCTTTTAACATCATTGCAATACCTAGTTAGCAGTGATTTTTTGAATTTCATGAAAAAAAAGTTGGTTCTGACTCTGTAAAAAGTTAAAAAAATGGCTTCTGACTTTTTTTGCAATTGGTGTACAGTGCATAAAAGCTTAAATTGCGCTGACTTGAACTGCAAAATTTATTGAACTGTATCCATGCAATGCTTGTCAAAGCCGATGATGCATCATTCAGTAGCTATAGCTACACTTGCTGCCACGGTTATTCACACATTCGATCGCCACAGGAGTTCACTTCTTGAAGTTAGGTAATTGAACTGATTCAATATATTAGGTTGTCCCGAAAGTTTTGTTGGTTTTTTCAAACGACTATAAAACCATGCATAAAGAGTTGAACGAGTTTCAGCATGTGTTCAATGCAGCTTTTTCTTCTCTTTCTTATAAATACATTTTCGAACCACAATCCTGTATGCTTTCTTGATAACAAAATTCTTCACACATCAACTATATGTGCTCAAAGTCTGGCTGATATTCAAAAATTTCATTTTAAAGTTTCGGAAAGGGTTAAGTGTTGCGCAATTAGAGCAAATTTTGGGCTACACGACAATGTTTTTGGATTCTCCTAATCTGCTGTTTTTAGCTTTAAAAAATCATTTCTTTGAAGCTCTTGATTTTTGGCAAAGTCATGAAACACACAACTGCAGCAGTAACAATCTGTTATTGCTGTACATTGTACATTGTCACCAAGTTTGATTTGCTTTGGAGAATCAGCTTTTTTGGAATTTTCTGTACTCTTATACTGAACGTAATCAAAGAGCCGCAATTTTTCTTAAAAAATAAATATTACGGACTTGATAAACGTTCTCATATAATCTTAAGTGGGTAAATGTAGCCAAAGGTCTGCTCTGCAAGTTCTAGCACTCTTTAGAAATATCAGTGAAATTTTTTGAACAGGAAATTTTTGGCGTTACTGTTGAGCTGCTCAAAAACTCATGGCGATAACGTCGCAAAGACAGGATAGATCAGAGAGCAAATATAGTTGTAAGAAAGAGGACAAAAATATGAATCAATATCCAACCATCCATGGATTGTTTGCGGGCTTTAGTAAGTGATGAAAGAAACCGATAAAACTTTCGGGACAACCTAATACATAAGCGAATAATATTAGGTCATTTTGAAAGTAATTTCGCTTTTTTAAAAGGGGCGCCACATTTGATGGAACAAAGATTTTCAAAAGATCTTGGTAGCATTCGATACAGCATTTCATTTTCTTTCTAACGGCTATGGAAATGTTGCAACACAATTAATGGGCTTTCAAAAAATAACCAAAATCTGCGACCTATGCTTTTTGAGATGGTCAAATTTCACAATTTTTCTAAGCTTTTATATCAACCTTCCGATAAAGTACAAGTAACGTGTTTATAGAGCACCTTACAGAATGATACTGCTTTTTTCTTTTTTCCATAGCTTGTCATACATTTTTAACAAAATTTTAGCTTATGCTACCGACTTCCATACTTTACATACTTGGATAGCTAAATCCTCGTAGAACATCAAAAGAAGAGCAGCTCGGCATTATTCGATGCAGTATTTTCTCCTCTTTTCAACAGGTGTTTTCTGTTTCCGATTAGTTTAGTTTCCGGGGATGAAATCATCATAACTCATTTTTTAGCGAGCCCCTGTACCCGAAAAACTCGAAGATATTTTGAACCCGTAAACTCTCATTTGCTTTGTAAAATTAGTGTTAACTCATAGTACCATCTTGGTAGCCTCAAATTCCGATTAATTGTGATGTTTGATGCGATTGTGGCTGATGTGGAATCTGTTGGCTTTGTTAGAAAATGTTTTGAAGAATTACGGCAAGCTACGAAAAAGAGAAAAAAGTTGTAGTGTATTCTATAAGGTTTGCTCTATCTCATCGCTACTTGAAGTCCTTCTGAGGATTAATATGAAAGTTTTAGAAAATTGTGAAGCTTGACTATCTCAAAATGCATGGGTCGCAGATTTTGGTTATCTTCTTAAAGCTCATCGGTTAATTTGCAACGTTTTCATAACCATTGGAAAGAGAATGATATGATGCATTCGAATGCTTCCTAGATCTCTCAGAAGTCTTTGTTCCATCAGATGTGGAAAAAAGCGTTTGAAAAAAGCGAAATTACTTTCGGAATTACCTAATATATAAGCGCAAACAAAGCAGATAAAACACAACCATATATAAATAAAGTCTGAATCATGAAATGCGTCGTTGGACACAAAGTGTTGAAATGACGAAAATTAAACGATAAAATAAAATACAAAAATACAAAAGTTCGACTTCGCAAGTGAGCTTATCGGCTTTTGAGGCTCCCTTCTTGCTTGGCGCGTTCATCCTTCAAGGCTTAACTTTACTTAGAATGCGTCTTTTGTAAAAACTGCAGCTGTATAGCCTATCATAGAGAAAATTTCGCGTTTCCGCAACGATACAGTAAACGATGAAGTAGAAACATGATAAGCTATTAGCTCATAAGCTGAGTCTGGGCTTGGAAAGATGTGGCGAAATGTTCTTATTGTTGTGTTCCATGTATGACTAACACATTATTCTCAATGTTTTGAAACGCCTTGAGCGTATCTTATGAAATGAAATGAAATGAAACAGTAATTTCATTGGAAGATGCGGCGAAATTTGATATCCAATTACCTTCTTCCATTCGCAAGCCAAAATCTCATGAATTTCAAGCTGCGAAAGGGATAATCGAACTTCAGAAACATGCTGAGGCATACTGAGTTTGATGTCACAACTTTCTGCGAGTCATTAGATGAATTCTTACTACTCGCACTTATATCGTCCTTTCCTCACGGCATAGCGGGCGGAGCTTGGCCAACGTTTGCCAACGTATGCGCGTGGCAGTTTTTGGCAGCTAGAGAGTAACAAACTAATGCTTTAGAGTGGAGGTTCAACAAGTTCTTCAACATGTTCAAATGTCTGTACGGCCACGCCCGCTATACGCATGGGAAACGCGTATATATTCCTCGTGATCTATGCATTCTTCACAGATACAAATCTTACGAGTTCCAACAATGAAAAATTTCTTGGTTATTTTGGGCTTTGCTAAAGGTTTTGCTACCCTGCGCCCTCTACTTCCGCGTCCAGCTCCTACTCAGCTTTTGGTTCAAGCCCGCGAACCTCTCTGTGTGCAAAAAGCAATGCTAGCAAATACTTTCATGCAATCTCCTGTTCCTCAAAGGCTTTTGATGGAAACACAAGCGTCAGTTAGCCTTCTTTTGCAAACGCCAAATCCGGATAGCCTTCTCGTACAAAGCAATCAGAAAGTGCAAAGCTTTCTTAAGCTACCTCAGCAATGGTATCAGGGGCCTTTCTCGGACATATAGAACAAATGGAGTAAGCTGGAACTGAGCACAAGTAATATCGCGGAATCTTACCACAGGTACTTGGCCTCATTCTTCTGTTCAAAGTTCTATGCTAATAAAAGATAATCAGTTCCCAGTATGCAAAACAATCATGGCTTCAAAAGAAAGTGATAGAGGGGCAATGTGCGAAAGAGTTTGTTTATCTTTTCTTTTCTTACTTCTTGGACCTCAACAATTATTAAGAAGATCGTACGCCGCTTGCGGAAGAAAGACTCAAAGCGTCGCTAGCGCATCGAAAGATATTTGGAGCATCATCACGCAGAACTCTTACAGCATGCCAATCAACGACTTTATTATAGATCCCAACAGGTCATCGGTTTGATACAGTACCCAATAGGCGTAAAAGTATTTCCGGGCGTGGAGTTCGTGGCTGCACACAATACATCAAAAATTTTATCACGCCTAAAATGTCTCTCGCAAATCTCATTCTGCTACTCAATTTGTCCTTTCTCTTCATTTTCGCGAGTTTAAATGAGTTTTTTAATTCTTTTCTTGTCTTCTAACTCGTTTTCTTCCTCTTTCTTACTATTATTATCTTGATTACTTCGACGTCTCTTTCTTCGATTTTTTGACTGTTTTTGTTTGTCATGAACGAGAATAAGATTTTATAATTTTATTGATTAACTGTGATTGATTCATGCTTCATTGCTGTGTGTCGTCACAGTCTTGCAGAGGTGTGACATGCTCGTCTGAGAAGGGTAATCTTTCTCATTGGGCATTCAGGCATCGGATTTTATATTTTTCATAATTTTTCATAATATATGGCTTCAATCGTCCAAAACAGTGCCGTCTTTGGACATTTCCCTTCCATGCAGTCCCTGTGCAGCCAGTCCTCACGCGCTGGACATTGTATCCAGCAAACGTCCCCTTCGCCTTCAAGTGGATGCGTTCTGAGGCACACAGCGCAGGTGTCTGTCTCGTTGTAGTCGGGGAATGCAAGAAGTGGTCTATGCTTTGCTTTATCCTCTTTCCGCAAATGCGCTCTCTGTATATTTTGCTTTATTTACATAATGTAAAGTGTTAATATCACCTTATGAAGCTTCCGCATTGGTGTCAGCGCTTGCGGACGCCCTACTCGAGGTACATCAGGGCGAAGTGTGAGCCGTGTTATGCTGTTTTCCTTGTTTGTCGGAGTCCAGGCCTGACGTCAACTATTAAACGCTTCCATACAGCGAAGAGCTTCGGTGAGCTTTTCAAGTGGATCATCTGTCGGGTTTTGAAGGCTGATCAACATCCGAGTGCGTCCTACCGCATACTCCTACTCAGATTTGTCTTTTATGTGAATGTTAAGGCATATCTAATTCAGGCTCATGTTCTTCATCAT